CATGCCTGCTGTGCAGCAAAGGCAGAGGGACATCGCTGGTGTAGAGTTAGGTTCTCAAATGTGTCTCTCTGGTGCTACGGTTTTCCCAGCGTCAGGCTTGTGGGGACTTCATCCTGGGGCTGTGAGGCTGTGAAAAGCTGAAGTGGAGGGCAGGGGGTGGGTTGACAGGTTGATGGGCTTGCTGGCATTGCAAGTCCCCGAAGGGAATGGAGTTGGGGAGCATGGGAGGGCGGTCCCTGGCCTCTTGAGCCTGGGGTATAGCTTTGTGCTCAATCTATGGCCACCCAGGCTGGGAGGTCGGGAAGACCAGAGAGACTCCTCTGACCCCTGACTTCGTGGCCCTGGGGCCTGGGCCTTCCTTTCCCCTCTGGCTCTCTCTGCCTTCGTGTTATCCTTGCAGGCGTGCTCCCCGGCAGAGCCTTTCTCTCTGAGCTGAGTCCATAGGCACCAGCTCGGGCCCTCTGCACGGGCCAGCGGAGGGTTCATGTGACCCCGGGCGGGCATACTACCTCTGGCTCTCTGGGCTTGTTTCCCAACTGGAAAACGATGGGCTCATCAGATAAGGCTGTGGGGAAGATTAATGAATCCAACACATAACACGAAAGTGCTTCGACAGGGCCCAGCCCGTAGTAAGGATGCACTGTTAGATGTTAGGATTTACCTGGAGACAGAAGAGAACGGGATCTGTGGTCTCAATGAACTCTGTGTATCAGGATAAACTGCTTGGGCAGGGCGGTGTGTGCCCTAACTGCCCCCTTTTAGACCCTTTAAATCCTTTGGGGGAACAAGGTGGGCTCGAAACAATCAATCATTAGGAAAATCTCACCCTGCTCGGTGGGTTTCACTCAGCATCAGCTGACCAGCCAAGGGTTACCTCAGTCCCGAACCCCTACCCCCCACTGCTGAGAAGCAGCCAAGACCCTGCTCTCCAGTCCTTTCAGAATGGGAGAGGAGGGGAGGGGAGCAGGGGCTTCTGGGTTTTAGTAGGATAAAAGTGAGGACGCTTGGGTTCCTGCTTATAATGCCCCAAATCTCCTGGCCCTGGTGGTGCTGCGTACCTCCCCTCTCTGGAGGGTCCCCTCCCTTTGCTTACTCCAGGCACATCTCTTGGAGCTTCTGTGGACACCTGAGGTTGTCAGACCTCAGAGAACCTACCTTTGGAGGAGAAAGTGTGGGTTCTGATCCCTGTCCTGCTGTTTACTACCTACAATGCCTTGGGGGCGTTCTGTGCCCAGCCTCAGTTTCATCATCTGTGAAATGGGTCAGCCCCCCGTCTTTCATAGATGCTGCAAGGGTTCTCAAGAGAACTGCCACAGGGCCCTCAGCATCCACACACAACGGCCACTATCATGCAATTGTTCCCCTGGCTTTGCAACCCTTCCTCCAGGAGGACTTGGCCTTAGGTTCTAGGTCTGCAGAATGGGAACGGTGCAGATTTCTGCTTCTTAGGGTTGCTGTGAGGAATGAATGACCTAACACAGGAAAGCACTCAGAACAGTGCCAGCATATAATAGCCTCCAGCGCATTTTAGTTATTAATAGTATTCTTTTAATCATCATCTTTTCCAGTGTTTTCAGGATGTCAGTAAGGTGACCTGGTTAAGTAAGTCCTACATCTTTCCACCTCACTCTTCTCAAACATATTGCACATATGGTAGAATCAATTATACATGTATACACATACATATAAACACACACACATATACTTGTTATCTGTCTTCACACTTAGAAAGTGATGCACATATTTGGAGTGATAACACAGATCATCATTAATGTGTGACTGTCCGATTTTTAATTTACTGGTGGAGCAGAGGAAGGGGAGATGACCCGGTAGTGAGCGGGCAGTGATTGGAGCTCGTCTCCCCTTCGGCCTCTTTGGTCCAGGTGCCTGCCCTCTGCCTAGCCTGCCCAAGGAGAAGGCTTTCTCTCAACAGGTGGGGACTGGGACGGGGACTGTGGACCCTCATCCCATGCTGAACCTGGTTTCTGCTTGAGCCCCAGAGTTGGAATCGCTGTGGTCCTTCGGAAATATCAGGGCATCTCAGGGCTTTCCTGAGGCTGGTAGTGGTGCTCACACTGACTTCAGATATGAATGCTCTTTTCTGGAATCTGAAGACTTAAGACCCCACAGGGAATTTTCAATGTCTCCACCCGGCTTTCTGGGACTCCCACTCTGCCTGGCTGTCTCCCGGGCTCCGCTACCTTCCCTCCCCCCTTCCCCATTCCTCCTCTTCCCTGGCCCCTGCCGCTGGGCCTCGGCTCGCTGGGTCCTAACCCACAGAGCTTCCGCACGAGGGCGCATCCGCTCTCAGACTTTAAGGCTTGTGCCATGCGCTCCCCGGAAATTCGCTCCAGCGCGGTCCTTCCTTTCGCAGTTACAAAAGCTCTTCACCTGGGAGGCCAGGATTCCTCTCCGCGGGGGAGCCGGGTTGGGGCGCCAGGCCCGAGTTCTACGGCTGCAAGCTCTGGGAAACACTGCAAACTTCAGCAAATACGCGGGGCTGGAGGTGCGTCTCCAGCCCGCGACTATAACTCGGATTTTTCTTTTTTCCCCTTTACTATCAATGACCCGCCCACCAGACGCGCGTGTCTCCGCCTGCGTCCGGCCCATGCCCAAATTCGGTGGTGTTTATTATTGTACGAATTCAAGCTCGGATGTGCCTTAGAGTTTAGAAGAAGCCTCGCTGCGGCGCGCCTTTCGGAGAGGCAGGGATGTGCGTGCTGGACGCCGGTGCCTGGGTAGCTCCGTGAAGGGCTCAGGGTGCGGAGGTGGGGGTGGGGGTGGGGGTGCGGATGACACCAGTTTATCTTTTGTTCTGGGTCTGTTAGAGCCAGCGATCCAGAGGCTTGAAACCGAGCTGGACCCCAGCGCTGAGCGCGCTGATCTTGGAGAGGTTGGGGAGCCCCCGGGACTGTGGGACCGAGGGTGGCAAAAGCGCGGCATTGAGGCTCTTTTTTTGCTCCAGGGTTGAAAGGAGTGTTCAGGTAAGAGCCAGAGATCCAGAGAGAGGACAGCGCCCCGCCCCCTCCAGGCAAGAGGGCCACCCTTAGGACCTAGGCCCGGGTAGGCTAGGCCCCAAAGGTTGCCCCAGGTTAGAAATGCAGCGCCCTGGATGGAGGCTCGGAGGTGTGTCCCAGGGCCTGGCCTGGCACTCCGTCAAGCCGCGCCTGCACCCAAACCGGTCTTTCCACCCTGATTGCCGAGTCCTTTTCGGTATTTCAAACGTATTCGCTCTCCCACGGGCTATCCGGAATCCTCAAACTTCTGGACTCCCCATTTTGGGGGGAGATTCTCCTGAGTGCTCGAAACCAGCCTGCAGCATGGTGTCGCCTCTCTGACAACAGCAGTGGCAGGCCCCCTCGCCCCCCCAATGCACCTCAAGTACCTCTCTCCCCATCCAGGGTGGGAGCCAGTCCTGGGCAATTTCTATGTCCCCAGCCCCCCCCCCCTTCTCTTTGGCATCCGCCGCCCATTTACTCAATGGAATGCCATTTCAGTTATCCGGAATGCTGGTGTTGTTTTTTTTCCTCCTTTAAAAAATATTCATCAGAGATCATAAACAAGAACTAGTCACGCTACATGCCCCCCTCCCTCCAACGCGGTGGAGTGAGGGCAGGACACCTCCAACTGAATCAGCATCATCCACAGCTTTTGATTCAAACTCTGACGTGGCTGAATGTAAAATGTATGGGGGGGGTGCACTTGAACCCCAGAGTGAGTGGGTGGGTCGGGGGAGACCAAGCAGGCTTTCCAAATGCTTAATGTAATCATGGGCCAGCTGCGTGCACTTGTAAAGTTGTTATAACCCCCTCCTTGTTATAAACAGGAAAGCGCAGAATATAAAGCAAGAGACCCGCATTCACAAATACCAGCTCTCCCCAGCCAGCTGCCAAATTCCCCTTTTATGGTCTTTCTTGCTTGCAACCTCAGCCCCATTAGAAAGACCTTAGTTTCTCCCCCTGAACTTTCCAATCGGGTTTATTTTGAAACCTCCCTCAACTGAGCTGTGGACCAGGTAACCCACGCCCTACCCAGCTCCCTGGCACCATAGGCGTGGGCTTCAGGAAAAGCTGGGCTCCAGGATCCTCTTCCCTGGGTCCCCAGGAGCCCTGGAGGTCAAGGCTTGCTGCCTCTGGGATACTAGCCCCTAGCGAGGGCCGTGATTCCGCGGGGCAAGCCCAGGACCTGCTCCCTTGTCTCATCAGACTCCCAAACCTCTCTGATGGAGCCGCCTCTCCGCACAACAGATGTAAAAGCTTGCAAAGATCTAGGAAGACATCCGGTGAGACTGTGCCATCTCTACACCTCCTACGAAGTCTGGGAGAAGAAAAGACCTTTTGTGGGAGGCCGGGCTGTTGCGGGGGCTCCCCCAGGTCAGGGGTAAAACTCACCCCTGCGCTCCGCCCCCCATCCCCACCTCTCCTTCCTGGCCCCGCAGACCCCGCTCCCAGGCACCGGGGCCCACATCCTGCCTCGCTGACTGTGTGTGCTCACAGCGTCAAGGGGTGGACGTGATATTTCAAACATCAGATCAGTGCGTTTATATATTGGGTGCCCGGAAATTTTTCCAAATAAACACAGCTTGATTCAACTTGGGTGGGCGGACTTATCAACAGACTAATTCTATAAACAAATGAAGGAATAGCCCCGAAACCGATTGGCTGGTATCAAAAAGACACGTGGAGGGAAAAGCTTGGAGTTTTTCAGCAATGAAATTTTAATTAATGTGGGTGGGCTGAGAACACAACGACTGTTTATCATAGACAATTTATTTTCCAGCGCTAAGTCAACATATAATAGCAAACTTACAACAATTATTTAACATTTTTAAAGCCATGAAGAAGGGACAGAGCGTGGAGCGGCCGGGGAGAGCGGCAGAGCGGGAGGCAGACGCACGGCAGGCTCCCCGGGAGGGTCC